TGAGCTTTTAAATTCTGATCAGAGCCCCCTGCCTATTAAAAAAATGTTAAAGTTAGTCAACAAAAGTCAGAGGAAGCAGGTGATCTTGGGGAAGCAACAGAGATTGTAAGTTGATTATAAAAGTAACAGACACTTCATGAAGAGTTTCATCAACAAGTTATCTTAAATGTAGCTTTCTTAGACAAGAAGGAAAGGAAGGATCGATTGAAGAATAAGAACGCAGCAACAGAACAGATGGATCCTGCAGGTTTTCGCTGAAGCAACAATTTAAAACAGGGATTTCAAACTCATTTTATATGCCACGCTTTGATGTGAAGTGAGCTGGACCAGTGAAACTGCATGATAAATGTATGAAGCAAACAAAAGGTTCCCATAGTTCATTGGTCAGGGTGTCCTGTAAGTATAGATTTAGAATATGACGCTTTCATTGATTCACTTTGGTGTAGTATAGATGGCAGTGGGTGTGTGGGGGATCTTTATCAACAGGAAAAACTGTTCAAAATCTTTGTCCTTCCTTCACATTTTCTTAAGTTGTCAAGGATGCAGAATTGGAGTCTTTACAAAGCCGATTCAGGCCCGCGGGCCGTATGTTTGACACAAGGTTTAAAAGATTGCAGGTAGCATTTAGGATTACGTGCATCACTACACAGCCATCAAAGAATAACTGAAGCATCTCTGTGAACAACAGCTTTAAAAAACAACAACAACAAAGAACTATTTGAAGATTGAAGCAATGTGTGCGGCTGTGGCCGACAAAAATAGAGAGGGCGAGGAGGGGTTTAAGTTTTTTTCTGCTCAAGCATTTCCTGTTCACATTTCTAGATAATATACATCCTCTCGGGAGAGATAGGAATGGGTGGGACCAGAGGAAGTAAAGATTCAGAGGAAAACAACCACAAATAAACTTCGCTACAGTGTCACCAGCAGAATAAGTGGAAAATAAAGAGACTTGTGATGTTCAGAGGATAAAATGTGCACAATTCAAGTGATCATCTCGGTCACAAAGATTACCGGAGTCGATGAGCGAAGAGCAGCTGCTGCTCAGGCTTAGACACTTACCGGTGGACACCGATGAAACAGCTGGATGCTTTTAAGCTTTACAGAGCTCGGACTCTAAATCAATCCCAGCATCACGAATCTGTGATTCAGAGGCCGTGTAAATTAAAGCTACATCAGGCACTGCTGAGTATCTGAAGCACCCAAAAGGCTGGCTGAATGGTTTGGGGAGTCCATTACCCTGAAATCATTATGTGGCATTTGCTGTGGCTCAAACAGTCTCCATACTGAGGCACTGCTTTACTTTCTACCAGTGAAAATCATTAGCATCTCTGAATTCAGCTTACCCACTCTCTAAACCTGTTGCAAAGACGCATTGAGCACAGTGTTCAATAAAAGGCAACTAATTACATAAAAACATAACAAGGTTTCCAATAAATCAGGTTTAGAGGGACAAATTAGCTTTAAATGTATTAGATGTGACGTGTTGTTTGACCCCTTGGTCTACCAATGCTGGTGCAGCAATTGTAATTTTAAAAGTTAGGCCCAATAGGAACGTTTTACTTTTTACACTACATCTGTGTAAACAGATCGCACCCTGCATCAGCAAGTTATCTTTAGCTTTGCCCGCTGATGGGTGAACATTTACAGTAACGACCGAGTTTGGGGATGTGTCAATCTTTTTTTGCAACTTTGCAAAAATAGTTTTTCTGTTTCATCACAGGCTATGATCACAGCTAA